TTCCTTCCCTGCTGGGAGCAGACAAGGGTTGACCTGGCTGGTGCCTCCTGGTTCCTGCTCTTGGTCAAGAGGCAGAGAGACTTACTGTGTCCAGATCGTGGGGAAGCCTTGTCCAGTGAGTAGATCTGGAGAGAGTGACCAGATATGTCTGTCTGCTTAAGCAGCCCTCCCACACTGACCACAGGGGATAGTTCAGGACCCATGGAGACCACACTTTGCACGAGTCCTGGGTGCTTCATGCTCACGGGCGTGGCCTCATCACGTTGCTGCTGAACTTCTTTGCTGACCGTGAATCAATTCTGTGTCAGGCTCTGGTCAGCACCACCATTGTCACTTACAATTTTCATGGTGGTAGGAACTGTGGATCTGGACAGCTCAGCAACTGCTCTGAGGTCAAAAGCAGGAGAGACCACTCAAGTCCCTCTAATTCTGGATCTTGACTTTGAGCCTCCGATTTCATCCCCTAAACCAGCTTCTGAGCCTGGAGGGATAACACTTTCCCACTTCTTACCTTCAAAGACATGGGCTGACACGGTGACTGGCAACAGTCTGAGCACAGCCGATTGGGAGGACAGGGCGGCTCAGGTAAGGTGTGGGGCTGTCATGACAGGTGTTGCGAAGTGCCGTGGAGGTGAGTACATCGCACCGCAACCCTGTGAAGGACACATCTGAACCTGGAACTCTCTGACACCCTTGAGCCCGTTACTGCAGTCACTGTATTGGTCAGTGTTTCTGAAAGTCTTCCTTTCTTTTGCTGACCCACCACCTTTCTAAGGATGATGTCCCTTCCCAAAGAGGAGGCCCTCCCAACAACACGCCCGGAGTATGAGGGACAGACCTTCACCAGCCTTTCCCCTAAGGAGCTTCCTGGTTGCACTTTGTCTGAGATGTATCTGTTTATTCTCTTGATGGTCTATGGGATAACAGCGTTCTTCTGAGATGTATCTGTTTATTCTCTTGATGGTCCATGGGATAACAGTGCTCTTCTGAGATGTATCTGTTTATTCTCCTGACGGTCCATGGACTAACAGTGCTCTTCTCCAGTGCCACAACTCAAAGACACTGATTTCAGACATCCTCATTCACTGTCCAGCTCAGACGCCTAGCAAGGGATTATGGCTTGAATCAGATGCACCATAGTCTTTAGAGTGACACCATTGCTCCTCAGTACTTTGGAGAGGTGCTTGGCAGCAGACTTCCAGGGTTGCTATGAATTGGAGTCAGTTTGGTGGCATCTAACAACAGCAGCAGGAGGACACCGGTTCTTTCCCAGCTTCCGTACAGGGACTGGCCCCGCACTCCAGGAATGGTAGAAAGCCCTTGCTTCTGCTCTTCAGCCAACGCTGGCACTCCGTCTGGTACAGAAGACCCCTCCTCACGAATGGGAGCAGATGGGGTAGGGTGGTGGAAGGAGAAAAAGAATAGAAAAACACAGCATTGAGAGCAGTTGTGCTGGTTCTGCGAGTTTTATGCCGATGAGGCAAAGTCAAGTTCAGATTCACACTAGTCCCCATTCCTTGTTCTCAGGCTCAGAATCATTCATGTGGGCTCGTTCTGCCTCTCAACTGTGAAGAGTCCAAGTGGGGTCAATGGAAGTGCTGGTCCTTCAGTGGTGGGGGGCTAATGATGCAAATGTAAGCTCTCAAAGGTGTAATCCCATTGGTGGCACTGCCTCTGGTTGCTATGGTAGCAATTATCATCTCCCAGGAAGAGTGGGAACAGAGACCAGGTCCACCCCTCAGAAAGCAGTTGACCCAGCGTTACAAACAATTACAGTGAAGCATAGCAAGCATTGCACCAGCCCACAAATGTGTGACACTTCTCATTCTTCATCTCATAAAAAACTGGTTTTCAAGTTCAAAGCTTGTTTGAGGGCAGAAAAAATAAGGCATTGTAACAAAAGGACAAAAAAAAGAGGAGAGAGTGTTTATTGGGAAACATGACAGAAAAGAGAAGAAAACACACAAAAGTAGAAATACAGCAGATAACAGAGCAAAAAGTTATTAAATGACTTTTAAGGAAAGGGTTACCCTGAAGGAAATACAGCTAAAAGAGCAAAACTGTTTTCATTATTTCATAAACAGGAGAAAGAAGATTAGCCATCCCCCCTAAACAAAGTTAATCCCCCATTAGAAATCATTTTAGGGCTAGTCAGTGGAGGCTGATGGGAGCAGGAGGCTCGAGCTCATAAACGGATCTCCACGGAAGCGGGATTCTCTTCTCTGGTGACCACGTCAGAGCGCCCACTGATGTGAACGATTGAGTGAATGCTGGTGGAGGATTGTGTCAAACAAAGAACCACATTAAGGCACAGTTACTGCCAAGGGCGCCTTTCAAGTGTCACTTTAGAGATTACGGTGTACCTAGCCCAAGTCATAGCATTTTCCTGTTGCTTTACATGCATGTGAAAGTTGGACAATGACTATGGGAGACTGAAGAGGAATTAACGTCACTGTGTTTCAGGGCTAGTGAAGAATGCTGACCGTATCACAGACTTGCGGACGAACAAATCTGACTCGAAAAGGGTGCAGCCAGGCTGCTCCTTACAAGCGAGGCTGGTGAGATTCCATCCCACATTCGTAGAGACAGTGGTCGGCGGGGAGAAGGACATCATGCTGGGCAAAGCACAGGCCCAGGGTGAGAAAGGAAGACCCTCAGACAGATGGTTGGTGTGCTTTCCCTCACACTGGAAACTATTAAGGAAACATTTCCAGTGACATGAAAACGTCTTTAACACAATAATGTGCACCTTGAACATGAAAGCTAATTTGCTGTGTGGACAGTTGCATCTACCGTGGGTTTTAGTATGATGGACTTTCTAGGGCTGGCTGGTAACTTGTGCCTAACATCACACCTACTACTTGTACAGAGGAGAGGATTTCTAAAAAGGATAACTTTTTTTGAAGACAATTCAATCCACAACAGGCCTCATACAAAAGGACTTGTGGGGAGCCTCCTGCCTCACTGCAAATTCCAATTTCTCCTCCAATCTCACAGAGCCAGCTAGAGTATTGGCTTCCAGCTGGGGTTTTCCATTGAGCTGTCTTTCTGCAACAGAAAGAGAAAAGGATGGAGGCTGTCCTTGAGGAACATTCCGCATTTGTGAACCTTTACAGACCCAGTTGTGCGGCTCACACCTACTGCACCAGTGCTGACGCGCTCCCAGATTTTGCATCTGGAAGGATCCCGCACCTGTCCCTCCTCAGTGCCAGCCCTGTGCTCAGCGGCATGGCCCAGGGCTGAGCTCTGCTGGGTGCTGGCTCCCAGCTCAAGGCTCCGGGTTCCAGACTGCAGCTGGGGCTGAGCCTGCCTGAGTCCTTACTGAATTCCTGAACTAGCACCTTCCAGTTCCCTGTGGGGGAAGTGGAAACAAAAGGCCAGGCAGAAGTGTCCTGTCGGTTGCTTCTAATCTTACCATTTTGGGTTTTGTTTGTTTTTTTTTGTTTTGTTTTTTAAGTTCAGAGCTTTTTTCTTTTACAGCAAATTATGGGCCCAGAGCCGCCAGAGTGCCTGTGCGTATACACCCTAGGAACTCCAAGTCACTTCTGCACAACCTGCTTCAATGGGCCTGGAGAACCTGGGCTTGGGGAGAAAGAAGTGCAGACCCGCTGCCAAGGTGAGTCTGACGGTGGTGGTCCCACAGCACAGAGCAGCCCCTCCAATGTGCCTCTTAGGGCTTCTGAGGTCGCAAACCTCGACAGAAGCAAGCTGTGAGACCTTCCCCGGGAGAGGCCTTTGAAAGAACAGCTGAATCCTTTAATCTCAGCACCACAGGGTACCAGCGGCCCTAAGGAAGAGGGAGGGGAAGTGTGCTGAGGCCAGGCCATCATAGGGCATCACCTGATCTGGTGGGTGGGCCAGCACTTTGGGGCCCAATGAATAGAACCTTCCACATCAGAACGGTGGTGCCTTACCTGTCAGCCCTTCTCAGCCACGGGACCCTTCACACAGCCTCGACCAGTCAACACCAGTTTTTACTGCTGGAAAGATGGTTAGCTGCTCAGTCGGCTCCAACTCATAGAGCCTTTAGGTATTTGCGGCTGGTGTTGGTGCCGTTGAGCTGCTTCCGTCCTAGAGACCCTGTAGGACGGGGAAACTGCCCTGCGCGGTCTCCTTCGCTGGTTTTTACAGGTCACCAGGTTTTTCTTCCCAGCCAGTGGCTGGTGGCCTTGAACCAGCAGCCTTTTGATTACCAGCCAATTGTTAAACATTCTCACCAGGACTCCATGTTGTTATGTGTAAGACATAGTCAAACCCTTCTTTCTTCATGCGCACACATCACTTTTTGAGACAGAAAAAGTAAAAACAATCTTTACACAACGATTCCTGGAAGATCTTCTCCCCATTTTCAGCAGGCTTCCTGTCTTTCTCCAAATGGTTCTGCTGGGCAAGCCTTGTGCACACAGTAGGTGAGCACTTGTGGGCTTTGCTTCTGTGCCTCTAACAGCTTCACACCCCCTCCCTCTCCTCTCCCCCTGCATCCCAGACTCCTTGTCTTCAGGCCCTTGGTGTCCAAGGGGAGGATGGAGCTTCTGGCAAACACACCTGTTACAGGGACCAGCAGCTGCCCAGTCAGGGATTCATCCTTGTCATCTGATACCGGAAATGCCTTCTTCATAGATATCTGAGCTTCTGAGAACCACTGGGTCACTTACCTGGGGTTTACTTCCCAAAATCTCAGTCAGAAAAATTAGGGAGATCATTTCTTCAGGAGATATTGCAAATTACAATCCGAGAGAGTTTCATTTCGGAGAAATGCTTCTTTCTCTTTTGATCTTGCTTTTAAACACACCCCACAGCACCCCCAGAATCACTTCTGACAATTCTCTCATCAATTACGTTTCCTCCAGTCATGCACACAGACACTGCGCTGGCATTCGCCATAAATCATGCTGGGTCTGCAGGACTGTGATGTTCGCACAGAAAAAAATGCTGTCTCCTGTGCATCCAGACGGAAATGTGATGTTGAAAGATAATCTGAGAGTGGGTGTGGCACGTGCATGGGTGTGCACACACACGTGTGCATGTTGTGCATGTGTATATGTGCACTGTGTGTGTGTGCACGGTGTGCGTGTGCACCGTGTGTGTATGTGTGTGCACTGTGTGTGTGTACCGTGTGTGTGTGCACCGTGTGTGTATGTGTGTGCACTGTGTGTGTGTACTGTGTGTGTGTGCACCGTGTGTGTGTATGTGTGTGCACTATGTGTGTGTACAGTGTGTGTGTGCAGCGTGTGTGTGTGCACGATGTGCGTGTGCACCGTGTGTGTGTGCAGCGTGTGTGCATTGTGCATTGTGTGTGTGTGCACCGTGTGTATGTGTGCACTGCGTTTATACATATGTGTGTTTGTGTAGTGTGTGAGCATGGGCGTGCATGTATGTGCACTTGTGCAGGTTTACTTCTGGGTGTAGGCACAGTGTGCTTCTGTGTGCTGTGTTCACATGTAAACCGTGCATATGCACATGTGTGCACTTTCCTTACACATGCACATGTATAGAGTAGTGTGAATAGGTATATATCTATGCAGAGTGCACCTGTGCACTATTTATGTCCATGTACGTGTGTGCACACGCCACACTTGTATGTATGTGTGTGTGTGTGGTCTGTGTACAGATGAATGCTATTTATGAACTTAAATGTTTATGTGCGTATTTACGTATGTGAGTGTAGCTCTGTGTATGTGCATGATGCGTGTGTGTGTGTGCACTGTTTATGCACTCGTATTTGTGTGTGTACTTGTGTATGCGTGCAGGCGCACCATGTTTGCATGCATTTGTGTGTGTGCACTTTCTATGCAGTTGTCTGCATGCGTTTTTCTTGAGGAGGACAGACAGTCTGGTCAGTGTATGGAGAAACACGTAAAATGCAGGATGACTGTAAAGGTCCACACTGTGCGGTGGTGTCTGTACTGTCGCGTCACCTGTGACCCGTAGTGACGTGACCCTGTGAGCAATGTCTCTGCCTCTTGCCCTACCTATCCTCAGCTGACGTCAGCCTAAGTAACTGACACAGCTGTCCTCACTGCCACAGCCACTGTGTCAATCCCAGGTCTTCCTCTTCTTAGGAAGTTTTCTTCGTCTCCTGTTACTGCTGGGTAGTGTCATGTTGACTGTCGCTTGCAGGACCTCATGTACGAGCAGAGCCACCGCCCCTGGAATTCCCTAGACTGCTGCCTCTGTGGGAACAGAGCCTCTGGTCTTTCTCCTGCAGTCACTGGGGGATTCAAACTGAGGACCAGCGCTCAGCTACTGCACCACCAAGGCTTTATCTTTGTCTCCTCGAATTTCCATGGCAAAGAATCCCATCACTGGGAAAAGAGCACAGGCTTTGTCCAGCTTCTCGTCCACTGGGATGCTGTCACCCTTCCTTGGTTTACAGTGTGTGCCACGTGGCAGCTTCCTTCTCTGTGAGTATTGTTTCTGCATCTGTTCTCTGTTCCATAAGACACCATTCATGAGGAAAAAGGACTTAGCTTCTGTTAGACCCCCTGCAGGATCCACCTATTGCTGTAGCATCCAGTCTAGGGCTTGCTCTGCTCAGATGGGGACAGCCTCTTCAAGGACGTGTGACACTCAGGTACGATAGGACACACCCTTCTAGGGAGTGGTGTGGACCCTGTCCTGCTTGGGTTTGGCCTTCTGTTAACCAACCCTTCTAGAGTTTCCTTCTGGAAAACTCCAAAGCCCACTGTTGTTGAGTTCGTTTTAACTCGCAAAACCCTCCACTGAGATCTGAGAGTGAAAAGTTCACTGGGAAGACTGCTTGCTTCTCTCTCTTTTTTTAAAAAATTAGTTTCTTGTTTTATTTGGGGGGGAGACAATTCCTTTATTTATTGCTCTCCTCTCCTTCACTTTCATAATTGTCATATTGTGAAAACAGCTCTTCTTTCTCCCGTGGACCAATCACTGAGCTGTTAGCCGCCTGATATGATCTGGTCACTGTGTCACCAGGGCTTCAATGTCTTGACTGGACTCACTCTGCTCAGATAGGACCTTGTCGAGAGAATCATGTTTTCAAACAGGTCATGTTCAGAGATAGAGAGGTGACAAGTGAAATGGACAGTTTTAGGGATCTCATTCAGCCCTACCAGGAAAAAGTAAGGTGAGAGCAAAAGACTGCAGCGACTCATCACTGGGCAACAGGTGTGGGTGCTGTTTCCCCCCTCCCCCGTCCTCTCCCCTGTTGGCCTTGGCCGGCTCCCCGCCCCGGGCGCTTCTCCCTCCTCCGCCTCTGCAGCCCTGTTGTCGAGACAAGCCTTCAGTGTCCGCATCCAGATCTTTCTCCACTCTTGAGTTCTAGGATATAAAACCCATACATTTTATTCTGCCAATAGGATCTCAAAATTTCCATTACTTTTTAGGCACAGCAATTTCAGTCTCATTTGTCTCAACCTCTCCCATTGAGATCTACCCAGGCCCTTTTCCTTTCATTGCCAAAAGGTCCATTAACAATTTTTCCTAAATTAAAAAAAAAAAGTCCACAGCTAAGATTAATTCGGCCACTTTCCTAAAATGAATAAGCAAATGTAATCAGTTTCATTCTTTTCTTAAATTGCATTTTGCCCATCATGCAGGCAATACGCTCTCCCAAAGCCAACTCAATTAATTTGGCAAAAGCTTAGGAAGGTTTGAAAAAAGGCAAAAAAGAACCTACTCTCATAGGTACCTTTTCACCAAGATCTCCCAGGGCTGAGCTTCCCATCACCATGACAACCCAATCCCATCTTCCTGCACTGGTGGTAGATGTGGCACCAAGTGTCCTAGCATGGAGGTGTTCACCTTTGTGGTCTCATATGTAGTCTGTCTCCTTGACATTCGTGATGTTCCTCTTTATGTATCTGCCATAGTACTGAAGAAATCGCCAGATGGATTCAAGCAACCACTTCAAAATTGGAGTGTTTCTGGGGATAGGTATGTGTTGTTTCCTGTGCTCAACAGAAGAGCAGATGAGTAGAGTCGTTGTTAGTTGACCTTGAGTAGGTTCCAACTCCCTGTGACCTCGTGCCACAAAGGAGAGACCTGCCTGGTCTTGAGTTGTCCTCCTAATTGTTGTAGAAACTGTATCAACCTATTTTGTTGAAGGTCTTCTTTTTCATAGCTTCTGCCTTCTGGATGAACACAGAGTCCTGGGCTGACAATGGATCTATAGGACCAAGCAGTGGAGTTCTGAGGTGATCCTGTGAAACTGAGAGTCTAGGGGTGAAGAGAGGCAAAGATAGAAGTGGGGCCATATACACAGCAAGGCTGTGTGGGAGAGTTCCTCCTGTCTAGAAATTCCCCAGAAAACACCAAACCTTCAGCCTGCAAAGTAAGAGTGCATCGCCAGACCTGGACTGCCTAGAATATTTGATAACTGGACAGATTTTTCTTTGTTTCTTTCTTTCTCTCTTCTCTTGGGGAGTTGCTGTCATTGCTTTATATATGGTTGAGTTGGAACCGACTCACAGCTGACTCTCTGGAGAATTTTCAGAAGCAGTAAATTGTGTGAGGGGAGATTGCCCACTTGTCCCCGGAGCTGGTGGATTTGAACTGCCTGCCTTTGGATTGATCGTGCAATTCCTTACCACCAAGCCACTAGAGCTTGTTGTTGTTACGTTTCAAGTCAATTGAGACTCACAGCGACCCTGTGCACAATAGCTTTGAACCCTGCCCTATCCTGAGCCCGTCTCACTGTCTCCAACACACCTACCCTCCATTACCCCAATGACCGTGTCAATCTATCTCTGTGTCTTTCCCTGCTGCACTGTCTGTCCCTCTGCCTTTTTAACCATGATGTCCTTCATCCAAGGACTGGCCCCTCCTGGCAACATGCCCAAAGTATAGCAGATGGAGCTTCAAAATTTTTGCCTCCAAGGAAAAACTTGGCTTCACTCTCTCTAGGACAGACCTGTTTGTTCTCTTGGCATCCATGGTATGGTCCATACTCTTCTCCAGCACCACGACTCAAAGGTATCAGTTCTTCTTTCATCATTCACACCCACTGTCAAGCTGAGAAAAGTAAAAATTCCGAGTTTCAGTTACATTTCCATTTAAGTGACAGAAAGCGTAGTTTAACGTTGTTAATCAAAACCGCAAGTTGTGGTGGTTTCAGGAGGTGAGCAACGAGGTTCTTTCATTCCTCACCCCTGCCGTCCACTGGCCCTGCTTCTTAGCCCTGGCCCTCCTGACGGCATCCTTGGAGAGCAGTGCCCAGGGAATGCATTTTGCAGGAGGAATATGCGTCCTCAGGGACCAGTGGCTGACTATTTGGCTGCTGGCCAAAAGGTTGATGGTCTGAACCCACTAGTTGCCATGGGAGAAATACCTGGCAATCACTGTTTCTGTAAAAATGACAGCTCAGAACATGTACGGACAGTTTGCGAGACTTGTCTGGTGACTAATGTTTTAGGTGCTCCTAAATAAATTGCCACAAAAATGATTCATTTAACTAATCAAGATACCTTACCACAGAGCTAGAGACTAGATCCTCAACCAACTGCACTGCCTTCCAGGAGACTCTGGGTGATGCCGGCCGTGCATTGGATTCCTGAGGCCGTAAATCCTAACACAAGGCCCTGGACCCTCTTGGAGGACTGGTGGAACCACACTGCCCTTTGGCTCAGCAGCCCCAACTTACCACCAGAGTGTAGACCCAAGCTCCCCTAAACCACACAGCCACACATGGCACAAACACAGGGGTTTTCTCAGTGAGGGAGATGTGTGGGAACAGACTGAGATGGGCAGCACTGGCCTCCTTCCTCTGTGGCTTCTTAAAAGCATATTTCATTGTGGCCTTGGACTTGGCCAAGAAGTCTATAAAGCACCCTTCTCTGTATTGTAGTTGAATTTGGGATGAAAATAGAAAGGTGAGCTGTTGACTCCAATTTAAGCTCAGGTTTAAGTGACTGTGGTAGCATCCTCCGTGGGAGGAAGTTTGCCAGAGGTGAGCGCGGTATCACAGGGGGCTGGGAACAGCTCCGAGGACCAGGGATAATGAGGAACAATGACCCAGTGACGATCTTCTTGGAGGGAGGTGTCGTCGTCTTCATTATATTACTGTTCCAAAGACAGATGGGCACGGCTATATTTAGAAATATGTTCAACAATGATGATTTTCATAGCAACCAGAAGAAACATCTTCTGATTACTTCAGTAAACTTTAATCACTCATTCATTTTGTTAACTAGAACATCTTCACGAGCCCAGCAGTTAATTGAGACTTGCCTCTGTGGTTCTTGGGACACAAGAGGGGAGGGAGGAAGAAGGATGGGACACGCGGGAGAGACATAGGGTCGAGGGCAATGCTGGGAAACGTGAGGCAGTGTGCTCACTGAGCAACTGTGTCAGCAAAGGGCTTTTATAACTTCCCTTTACTTGAGGCTCTTTGCTAGGCACTTCTAGGAGATATATCTATATCTCTATCTAATCTCTCTCTCTCTCTCTCTCTCTCTTCTCCATTTAAAGACCTTTCTGAGAAGCAGGGGCGTTAATACAAGTTCACACATGAGTAGAATAGACCGTGCTCGGGAGGAGACATCCTGAGTGGTACAGATGGTCTATAGGTTAGAAGTTCGAGTCCAGCCGCCCACAGATGCCTAGGAAGCAAGGCCTGGTGATCTGTTTCTGAAAAATCGGCCAGTAGAGCAGCATGAGCTCAGTTCTGCTGAGACACGAGTCCCCTTGAGCTGGGCGGCGAGTCCACAGCACCTGATGGGCAGCAATGGGCTGTGTTGGCTTCTTTGGACTGGGTCCGCTGGTGAAAATTAAGGTGTCCCGGTGGTCGTGCTAACCGAATGGGCTGCTGACCAGAAGGCTGAGGCTGTCTCCCCCCAAGGATCCGCTG